TAAAATATACAAAAAAATTAATTAATATAGTAAAAATAAGAAACAGATTATTATCAGTAAACTGCATAATCACTTTGGAACAACAGGACCGTTTCCCACTTTTCTCGCTTCATTGTTCACTGCACAGTGCGTGATATTCTCACTGTCTGATCTTTAGTCGCGGGAAAGTCATGATCTGTCTACAGATAACCAAAAGTCCAATATAATTTGCGGGGGAATTGGGACTTGGACACGGTCTTGTTCTGAGATTTTTCGATACTGTATGATCTCCAAAGGAGCACATCATTGGCACCACAGTGGTCAGACGCGGTGCGCCCTTAGAAGCCAATATTAGAAATCTTGACACATTGAACATTATAAGTACTTATGTAATAAGATGCAATACGTACAGCCGTATCTGTACAATGAGAAATTTGGACAAGGATAATAATAATATAAAGCATTATATTATGAAGAGCATTGTTGTCAAAAACACAAAGAAGTCAGCAGCAGGAGGAGTATGACAGTATTATTATTGATTACAGTTTTGTAGCCTACAGAAACAGAGACTCTATGCTCTAAACACACACAGAGAGAGAGAGAGAGAGAGAGAGAGAGAGAGAGAGAGGGGGGGGGGGAGGGGGAGGGAGGGTAGAGAGATAGATGATGTCACATTCAGGGAGAAATGAATTTGTTAATACTAAGACTCGCATGAAATTACACCCTGGCAGTAATACTTCTCCAAGGTAAGGGAGGAAAGAGGTGTGGAGGTTATTTCAAAGGACAACCATTGTAGAGGACTTAATCATCATCAGTGCCTGCCTCTCTCATCCTGCATTTGGGCATAGGTCAGAAACGAACCCTGGGCTAGCTTCTTTATAATATTCCACGTCTTCCCTTTTTTCTGTACATTTTTAGAGGACAAGCACACCGACATTATAAGTAGGCCCCAACAGTAGCTTTTGCAGCAGGAAAGAAAGGACTGGGCAGAACGACATCTCCAATATATGAGTAGCAGACAGTCATTCTGTTCTCAACACCACCCACTTAAAATTGACGCTGGGGGCCACAAACATTATGAGAAGATCATGTGAGTTGAACAATTTAAACTTCACGTGATTATACAAACCCTGACGTGTGAAAATGCTGGTTTATGAAAAAAAAATAATTAAAAAAAACAAAAACAAAATAACAACAATAAACATGTAACATTTCCCACGATAAGAGCAATAATATCATGATCAAACAGAACATCAGATAAACGATCCTGTGAAAGGCAACTTTTGCTGTCGACCCAACATTCGATTTTTGCGTCGACTGTACACAGATACTGAACTCTCCAGTGTGAAGAAACCGAGATTGTCCAGCAGCTCATAGACTCCTGCTGGTGCTGCCACCTGAAAAAAAGGACAATATAATGGGGGAGAATGTTTCGCTCAAGAAGAAACTGGTACCAAGTATCCTTGGCAACCGGACTAATAATCGAGTGTTCGAGCCTCAGTTCGGCCCAACGTTTTGTCCTCGGGAAAGACACTTTCAAACGCCCTCACCGATCCTTCTTCTTTTCATTGAATGGCTAAAAGGCCATAGACATCAAAAGATCTTATCAATATTTTAGTGTTTTAGCACCATAGAATAAATAGCAGTTTCGGCTGTATGCTTCCCAGAAAGTTTAGATTGTTTCAGAAAACTAGGAGGTCTGCTGACTGTTGTTGAATGGGAATTTGCGATAAATATCATTATTTGATTATCATTATTATGAGCAGATTATTCTATTGAACTTACAAGGGGTGGCAGATAGAGTGAAGAGAAGGAAAACTACTCTTTGAGGTGTGAATGCGCTTGTTCAATATTACGTTTATTCTTTAAACTTACCAACTACAATGATGAGAAGTGACAATTTGGACACAATTCTGAAACAAGTAAACTATGTGTTACTGGACAATGGACAGTCATTATTGATGCTTTCAGAAGACGGATGCAATTTCAGCCAGCCCACATTGTTTCCAGTCTTCAACATCAATTCTAATCCTCCAGATAATAAACACCTTGTAATCAACAATAAATGTCTATGCCTGGAGACAGGTCCCAGCTGTCGATAGTTTTGGGCATTAAGGTAAGGAAGGGCATATATTCTTGTAGCAAATGCAATACTGGGCACGCTGATTGTTAAAAAAAATTCCTATACTGTCTCGAGTATGGTAGTTTTAAAAGATATGCCAATTTTTGCAACACAGAGGATGTTAAGACAACGTTTGGAGAAAAACCCAATTTCTAGCACATTTTTTAACCTTTGATGGGAGGCTCTCATGGCCTAGAGGTTAAGGTGTTCGCCTCTCATTCAAAGGCCCCCGGTTTGAATCCGGGTAGCGATGGAGAGATTTTCTTCTCTAAAATTGTCTCCTTTCACCTCCTTTCCTGCTCTCTAGCAATGTTCTATCGTCTACTTTCGTCTCCTCTTTCTGCCCCCCACCCCCTCTGCCCCCTCCTCTGTGCTCCTGACTCTTTCTGCAGCCTTTCTACTGCTACTCCTTGGCTCCTTCTTACTGCTGTCTTTCAGCAATACCCCTGATCTTCTTGTAAGAAAGATCTACACCTAGCCGTCTCAGACAAGGGCGAAAAATCTCGGAGGTCCCGTGTGCAAGTTGCGCACGTTAAAGATCCCTTGGTGGTCTAAAATCGATAAGAATAGGCTCCTGCCACCACCCACGCAAGATTCAAAATTCTCTACCAACTGAAAATGTTTTATGTGCCTCGCGCGCTCATATGACCGTATGCAGTTGCAAGCGCCGTAAAACATTTACCAACCTCCCCTCCCAAGAGAAAAAAACAAAAACAAACAAACCTCAACCTTTAATTTTAATGAAGTACAGCATGTGTCAAAAATCACTAATAAAAATACTAAGATTTAAAATATCAATAAACGTCCTTTCAACATGTTATTAACTTTTATTAAGAAATGGATAAACACGTGTTTTAGGATGGAACTAGATCTAAGTGTTTGACCAGGTGCGACTTTTTTGGCCTTTTAACGCTAAAAAATAGCTTTGCCGACAGCTGGGACCTTTCTCTAGGGCACATAGATACACAATAAATCTAAAGCAAATCAGCCCCTTAAGGGTTTGGAGGCTTGAAAAAAAATTCACTCAAAACACCATCAGTGAGACCCACCTCACGCATCCACTGTGTGAAAGACCTTTTGAACTGTGTCCCCTTTTCCATGTGCAAGTAGGCGTTGTAGAGGATGAGATAGAGGTACCTCTCGAGGAAATCGTAGCTCAGTTTGTGCAGCAGCTGTTGACTCTCACCCGTGCTTGATCGAGCCTTCAAGAAGATAAGATAAGATAAGATAGTATATATAGTTGTTTTTGTTGTTGTTGTTTTTTTTTTCAGATCAAATGTACACATAATATAAAAAATACAAATCCCACATAGCAAGTTCAAATGCCACATAGAAAGTTTCACGCCACATAAAAAGTTCAAATGTACAATAGGAAATTTTAGTGCACAATTGTGCGTAACAAATTCAGATGTACAAATGGCAATTCCAATTCCAAATGTAACCAAAGAGTCTACATAACAAGAGGGGCCACTCCTCTCTTTGAGCCAATTAAAAAAGTGTCCTCAAAATTTGGTGGCGCCCTCTTCGCAAATGCTAACCCTTTGCGAACAGAGTTACCCTACTTGAGTTAAAAATATCAAAGTGAAACTAGCAAATTTTTGAATAAAGTACGGAAGAACGCTTTTTTAAAATGGTTACGCTGACAAAAAACCTTTCCCGGAGGAAGGGGTGATTGTTTTTTCCGTTTAATTTGACTTTAGAATGAAAGGCGAGAGGTCATTAAAATTTGTAAAACCTAAAACTCCGCACTGAACGAACCCGAACTGCTGATGAACAGCAGTCGATCTGCGCACACAAGGAGGTGCTATTCCTATTCTTTTTCTGGAAAAACGAAAGAGAGCTTCAAAACAGACTGCAGCGCCATCTGGAGCAAAGAGCGGACTTCCGGCGGACATTTTTTTGGCTGAGTGGCCCATCTTGTTATGTACTATCTTTGATGTAACACAATAGCAAGTTCAAATGCCACAAAGCAAAAGCAAATATCCTCCACAAATATTATTCAGCGTGGAAAGCATTTTAATGTGCTCAAACTGAGTTGACGACAACCATAAGCAGTTTAATTTTTTAAGTCGAATTGATTCCCATTAAAAAATCCCGAGGATGCTCCCGCGGAAAGAAATTCAGATAGGACTGAGGCAACTAGACATCAATATATGCAGCATGGCTGATGCAAAACATTTAGCGGTATGAATTTGCCTTTGTTGAGGAAGCTGGTAGCAAGCCGTTGACGAATAGAAACCAATGAAGAGCACGGAGTGGTCATTGTTTTTTTCGAGTAATGCAGGGTCGAAGGGGACCGAACCGCACGATGCCATAGGGGCCTAATTTGCTGTCAGTGACGAGGATGGCCTGGTCTTTCACGACATTCAAGTAGAGGGAATGGCAGCTTTCGTTTCAACCCATCCCTCTAAAAAAACTGGTCCAATAATCCCCACAACAAAGTATGCTTTGTATAATGCTCGTGCAGAAAGGCACGCTTTGAATGGCCACTCATCAATAGATTGGGGAAGAAATATCTACCCCCTACACACCTTTTCTGAACATCTACGAGAACGCTTGTGAATTTGGAAATACGTTTTGAAACTGTGGCTTGGTGAAGCAAAAGACCAAATGTTGACTCAGCTGACTCACCAACAAAGGAGGGTCACACTTGCCCAGATGATGGTACAAAAAAACACAAGCTGTGACTATAGTGAAAATGGCAGCAGCCTTCAGATCAATGCAAGCCGAAAGCCATAGTGATTTGTTGTGGAACAAAAAGTAAATAAAAGTAAACTTGGCTTTTGATTTCACTCAGTTAGTTCTATAATATACAAGCAGTATGTTGATTTGTATCATAACCATTCGTTTCTGTTAAGCATGTAAGTTTGTTTTCGGTTTTTAACATAATATTTAACTGTTACTTTCGTTTCCCATGATTTCTTCCTTGTGGCACCACACGGCTTGCGTCTAAACTTTCAATGGCCAAAAACCCCCAAAACCTTTTACTTCTTACCTTGATATACTTCTTCTACTTTTAGCCTCCTTTTTAGTTTTAGAAAGAGTTTTACTGCAATTGCAACACAATAAGGTCACATAAGTGTCGAAGATTAGAGGTGTTACTAGAGAATAAAGGACACACGAAAAGAAGGAGGAGAGATCAGGATGATAGATGTTAGATAGGAAAGAAGGAGCAAACCACACCAGAGCACCCGCCAACCACCAACTTAGCCTCCTTTTACTCTAGTTCAAGCATATTTACATGTGAACTTGCTATGTGGAATTTGAATTTGCTATGTATTACATTTGAGATTTCTATGTTTACTTTTGAATTTGCTCTTGTTGTATAGGGACTTTTTATGACGTCATTTAATTTGTATATTTGGATTTGCTAGGTGTAATTTTGTCTTTCTATGCGGTCTTTGAATTTGTTGTGTATATTTCAACTGAAAAAACTATATATATATACTTTATTATCAATCTCTTGGCTGTTCAGGACCGTAAAAAACATGCAGGTATACATAAAAATTTAAATTATCATTCTCATTAAAATTCAATAGGAAAAGAGAAGTAAAGAGGACAAAATGTACATATCACATCAGATGCATCGCTCAGCCACATGCAGGAATCTAATCACAAGACCTTTAGAGTTATGTAGATACATTCTCGAAAGAAAAAGATAAACAAACTAAATCATAAAAAACCCAATTCTTAAAGTAGGTTTTAGTGGTATCAGTGGCCTGGTGGTTAGTTTATCGCACTCACAACCGTAAGGCAATGGGCTTGAATCCCGTCAGGGTTCCGAAGCTGTGTCCTTAAGAAAGGCATAATATTACAAAAATTTTCCTCACTTCACCCAAGTGGGAACGGATAGCTGGGTATAGACTGCGAAAGATCTTGTCAGTTTGTTAGTGTGTTTAATCAACTACTTGCACTATATGCTTCCAGGGAAGTCGAGAATGTTTCTGCTGATTCTAGAGTCTGCTGGGGTAAAAAAAAATATTGTTTAAATCGTATGCTTACTGTCGAGCGGGGATATGCGCCATATGCTCTTTATTGTAATCTCTTTTGTTACGCCCCAATTCACACAATTTAGATCGTTTTGATTTAGAAAGCGGGCTTCAGCTATGCCTGTCAGGGTCAGCCCGGGCCGAAAAGGATACAACATCCCAGCAGAAAGACCATAATGCTCGATAAAACTACCCCCCCCCTCCGTCTGGAATGAAGTTTGGATCTCCTGCGTGCGACAGCGGAGTGCCTAACCGCTGCTCCACAGACGCCGGTAGAAACAAGGAAATACAGGTGTTTACTTGTTATGTTTCTTTGCAGACGTTTTTGGACCGTACTAGTCCGTTTGAATTTGGGGGCTGTCTTAGACAGGTGACCGTCTTACACAGTGTCATTATAATCTAAGAATAATGCACATAGACCTCAAGTAGAATTTGTCTCAGGCGACCGGCTGCCTTTTGTTGAGGAGAAAAGTGGCTGTCTTAGACAGGTGACCGTCTTACACAGTGTCATTATAATCTAAGAATAATGCACATAGACCTCAAGTAGAATTTGTCTCAGGCGACCGGCTGCCTTTTGTTGAGGAGAAAAGTGGCTGTCTTAGACAGGTGACCGTCTTACACAGTGTCATTATAATCTA